AGGTTTTTAAACATATCATAAAAATAACTCTTTTTGTCACTATTTTTTTAAACACTTTCAAGAAGACTGCAAGCAATCACTATAGAGTTGGATATTGTTGGAGGAGAAGGTTAGCTGCATGAGCAGGTTCAACTATGTTTATAATGTGTTTTTGCATCTTGTCTAAAAGAGAAACCATCATTAAAAGATCTGTTCCAGATATGGCAACAGTATGTTAATTTATCCTTGTATGGAAATATAAGAACAAATTTGAGATTTATAGAGATAAAAAATAGAATTTGGAGTAAGAAAGTAGCAAGCACGATAAAGAGAACCTTAGCAGATGCTAACTTTGGGATGGATATTTGATTTCCAAGTAATATATGTAAGAGTTAATCTTAGAAGATGAAGGGTAGATGATTCATCAAGTACATTTCCGTTCATAAATATAGGACGATCTAGATTGTTGCGATAACAGTTAACTGAAAAAATTGATTTTTATCTGAGTTAAAGTTCACCAGCCACTAAGCGCCCCATGCAGTAGCATTAGTAAGATCCTTTTTTTAACAATGTTTTCAAACTTATCAAATTATCTCTTTGGAAATAAACATTTATATTATCTATGTGCTCATTTGAATCATAATCTTGGCATAACTTTAGTCAACTTCCTGGTGAAAAATATTACACTTCAATTTTTCTTGGCAGTGTAATCAACTATAAATCAAGTATAAATACAAACTTATGAACAAATATGGCAAAAAATTGCTCTTATGGCAAGCAGTTTGTAGTTGCAGAAAAATAAATAGAGCTTTTGTGATGTCATCCACATTTGACATCAGAAATTTATATTCAAGAGTGTCTTGGAGTAGTTTAAATTGAGAAAGCACCATTAAGTTGGCAAAAATTTATACAAAATACTTCATTGGTTTGAGAATCTGATAGAAACGTTGTATCATTATACATAGAATTGCATAATTCTTTTATGGTAGTTGTTAATTCTTCAGAAAAGAATCTATGACCTTGTGACTCTAGTTTTAGTAAAGACTGTTCTTTAGTAATAACAGTCTCCCTACATATGCTCTTTGATCAGATTTGTGGTTTTTTGTTCAATCCTTTTTGTTGCAAAAGTTTTAGTAGGAATGATACCATCCTCATTAAATAGATTTTATAATCTATTTAATACAAATAATACAACAAATATGTTTCTTCTGATAATTGATCAATTAGCAGTTCTTCACAAACCCTCTTAATATCTTATATGATGAGTTGTTTAAATTTTAAATTCTTCATTTTATCTTGAATGTAAATTTTTACATTGATTTAATTTGTGCCAAACAGACGACACATCTTTTCAATGTTTATTTCTTCACTTTCTTTATCAGGACAATAAGATCTAGCAAATCTTGATTAGTTTATGTTTTTCTTATTAAAAACACACGATGTAATGATCTTGATGCAATTGGTGAGTAATTTTGCAACAATGTTGTGTTTTCACCATCTCAATGGTATAATAATTTCAGGGGAATAAGTCTATATTTAAACATATTTGATTTGCTTCCAATCTTTTCTTTTGATTTCATTGATGCTTGGCGGCCTGCTCCATCATAGCTATCTTTAAAACACATTTAATCATCATCACTATCTACTGGAATAAAAGGATCTTTAATTATATTCAAAACAGAAATAGTTATCATCCTTTCAATATATCTTTTGTTGTCTATTAAATGGGTGGTTACTAAAAATGTGGACTAATTTTTAAATGCGCAAGCTAAACCTTTTTTTTTTCATGTTTATTTCAATTTTAAAGCTTATTTAATTCTTTATAAATTAATTTACTTGTTTTTAGGTATTTAATAAATACTAAGAAAAAAATGGTGTCAAAGCAAGAAGAGATAAAAAAAAAGTGTTTTACAAGTTCTATTTGAATAATAAATTGCAAGCTAAAAAGTTTAAAAGATTACTTCAATGCTGAACAAATTCCCAAAAGCACTATCTATGATATAATGATATAATTAAGCACGCTGAGAATGATTATGTACACAAAAGAATGCAAAGAAGTGGCCATGTAACCAATTCATGACCCCTAAGGTGATTGAGTGTTTAAAAATTAAATTTGACTGGTTTTTGATGAGGCAAGTAGTTTGAAAATTTGGATGCAGTCATTCCCATATCATTAAAACTCTTGTCAAATTTATTGACATCAAAACTTATACAAAACATGCTATACCTGATCAAAAAGAAAGTCAAAAAAAGCAAATCAAGCGATTTTGAAGGAAAATTGATCATCCTTGATGAGAATTTATGTTTAACGCTGTCACACTTGACAATCAACGGAAACCAGGGCTGGAAAAAACCCAGGGTTTTTTAAAAAAACCCAACCCAAATGGGTTTTATTGGGGTTTTATGGGTTTTTTGGGTTTTTTTAAAAACCGATCAAAATACCAAATTTTTATAATTGTATGAGTACAATCATTTTTTTTAAAATTTCATAAATTCACATTCCTATTGCTCCAATGACCACTTTAGTCAAGGGAGCAACTCATTTTTTAAAAATATTTTGTCTCAAACCTTAACATTACCATTTTTACTAACAAACAACATTAACAACTAAAATTTTTAAACAAAGACGCTGTGCGCAGAAATAGATTGAGCACAGTAATTTCAGCAGAGGTAATTTGAACCCCAACCTTCTGGTTGCGAGCCAAATGTTTTACTACTCGTATACTAGCACATTTTACCTATAGTGCAAAAAGGGACTCCATCAACTATAAATGATGTTAATTAATTGCACTAAATTAAAAATACGTTCAGAATATTTTTGACTAAAAAAAAATCAGTATAAAAATTATTATGACAATTGAGTTACTCAAAGTTGGTAAGACAATATAAATGTTGCAAACTAGTTTTTTTTACTAACATGTTCAACATATCATTTCAAAACCTATTTTGCACAAGTTTACAACATGTAATCAACAAGTTTGCAACATGATGTTGCAACCTTATAAGTTATTATGAATCAAGTTGACTATGAACACTTTTTAAACATTTTTGTATCATAGAAGAAAACTGCTAGCCTAGTCACTACATTTTTTTTTATAAGAACATTATACTGTCCAGTTTCCTGAAAAATTTATCCACCTGATTAAAGTTTAGGCAAAAAATGGATTTTTGCCTAAACTTTAGTTGTTCTTAAAGTATCTAAAATAAATTTGTTAAAAACCATTACAGTGTCTTTGCCACCAAGTTTTTTTTTTTCCTTGAAGATGTTTTACCGGCTCAGTTTTGCAATGCAAATTGCAAACTGAATCAAAGTAACACATTATACAGCACTATTGTGTGTGTTTCTTCACCTTTTAGCAACTTGATACTGATGTTAATTTTCAACCCGCTGTTCATAGTCACCCTTGTTGGTGGTACATGTTGTAAAAATGTAGCTGATGCAAAATATTCAAAACCTATCAAAAGACAGATGAGCACGAGTGTCATTTTCACCAACAAATCTTGTCTTTGTGAAATGCATACAAGTTTTTAACATGTTCTCTCATTGAATGAGCAAACATGTTGCAAACTTGCTTGCACATAACTTAATTTTTTTTAAGTTTTTAAGTTGTATGTACTTAAGGACAAATCTAGTAAACTGTAGCATTTTTTTTTTTGCCTGACAACTTTCCATTTCTAAACTGTAAATAAAGTTTAATAATTTTTATATATAGTATTTTGCTTGTGGCTTTCTACTGAAATTTGCAGTTTACAACATAAGCTTTAAAAAATAAAAGAGCAAATACCAATATAAAGGAATATAGACATTCGAGAGGAGAATAAAGATACTAAATAACTAGTAATGTCTTGAAATTTAGTTAATAGAATGATTTTTATTTCCTTTATAAGTATTTAACTAATTTAATGTTTTAATACATATTTCAATAACATTTATAATAACTTGCTAAATGTTTAAAAATAATAATAAATAACCAACTTGCTACAAAAACAAATTGATCGGTTTTGGGTATACTCTAAATACCATTATGTATATAAATACAGTGTTTACAAGAGTAATTACAATATAAAGGTTGCACTTGCTGATAATAAAAGTATTTATAAGTGTTAAAATCAAAGTTATCAGTTGTAAAATAGGACATTTTTAAAAAAACCAAAATATATTTTGGTTTTTTTTGGGTTTTATTGGGTTTTTTTAAGGTGGGTTTTTTTGGGTTTTTTTGGGTTGGGTTTTTTTTGCCAACCCTGACGGAAACAGCACTGACTACTCTAGTGACAGAGCCCAAGTTTGAACTCTAGGTCCTTGTCTGACTGGCCTTTTCTGACTTCGCATCTTTAGACATGAAGCAACTGCAAACCATAATATAGGTTTGTCTGAAAAAATTGACCTTGATCTTGTATTTTCACTTTTTGGGTCAACTCGTTTAAGAGTTGGCCTAATCCAAAGAAACAAATTGGTTGAAGACAAACTTAATTAAAATAAATAAAGAATTAAAAACTATTTAATGATATTCTTGTTTAATCTCTACCTTAAAGACTAAGAAAGTAAACGCCCTTGAAAGTCAGTCTGGATTATTAGTAGGCATCCGTTGTTCCTTTATAGTCCCTGTCTGTTTATTATTTATACAGTAAATAAATTTTATGTGAGATGTAATTGTAATCTATAAATAAACAGCAAAATAAAATTATATAAATAAAAAAAGGATAATCATATTCATTTATGAAAGTTTATAACAATATTTTAAGTATATTTCTAATATATACTTTAGCTCCTGTTTTAGCTTTAAATTTTATGTAAGATGTTATTGTTATCTATAAATAAACACCAAAATAAAATTAAATAATGAAAAAAGTATAATTATATTCATTTATAAAAGTTCATATTAATTATGTCATAAATTTTAAATCAGAAATAAAATCTCTCCTTTTCTGTGGCTACAAAACTTTTCATTAATTGTTACTTTGTTTTCATGAATTTTTTAAAAAGAAGCCTTCACTTTGTTATTAATTTGTACGTTAATTAGGATTAACGAAGGTTTTTAATGCAATTGAAAAAGCTATTGAATTAAAGTTTAATTCTGTTAAGGTGACATTTGTTTATTTCATGATTTTCATAGATGTGTTTAACTGTTTTTGATTTTATTGATTTTTTTTTTTTTTTTTTGGTTTTTGTAGATATATTTAATAATTATAAAGCTATTTTAGATAAATATGATAATTATAAAGCTATTTTAGATAAACTGTGTAGTGATGAAAGGTCTCAATGATGATGAGTTGATTGAATTTGTAAACTTTACTCAAAACAAGGTAGAATGTTATATATAATAAAAGTTTATTTATAAAATTTTTTTGTTTTCATACAAAATTGTATCTTTGCCAAAGTGTATAAATTAAGTTATTAATAATTTTGTTCAATAACTGACAAAAGAAGTTGTTGAAGATAACTTAATTTTCTTTCTTTAAATGAAAAACAAACAATAATTTTAGATATTTTTTAGCCAGTTGATGTCCGTTTCATTGAATATATGCCATTTGATGGTATGTTAATTTTATTAATGGGATTCAAAAATGCTATATTTATGGATAATAATTTTTGATGATTCTAAAATTTCAGGTAACAAATGGGCCCCTGTTAAATTTGTACCTTATGGTGAAATGTTAAAGTTAATTTTTCAAAAGTTTCCAGATATTGTAAAAGTTGAAGATGATCCAAATGATACTGCTAAAGTAAGAAAATAGTTTAAATACGTCTTATTTTTGTTATGTATTTTTATATGAATAAAGTTGTTCATTTTAGACGTATAAAGTTCCAGACTTTAAAGGTCGTTTTGGCTTTATTACATCAATGAGCGAACATTTTTGTGGAACATGCAATAGACTTCGTTTAACTGCTGACGGAAATTTAAAAGTAAAAAATTGTCTTGTCTTGAGAGCATTTAATCAAAATAATGAAATTTTATACTTGTATGCAATTTTTTAGGTTTGTTTGTTTGGACCTAACGAAGTTTCTTTGCGCGACTTAATAAGGTCCGGAGCATCTGACACAGATTTACTAAATATTATATCAATTGCTGTTGGGAGTAAAAAAAAACAACATGCAGGTAAAATTATTTCAGCAGCATTCTTTATGAGATTTTTTATCAAAGCTTTAAATTTTCTAACAAAGGTTCTCGCAAAAATTACCAATTTAAATATTTTTAGGAATGCACACACTTGCTAATACAAAAAACAGACCAATGATTCTTGTAGGTGGTTGAGACAAGTAAATTGATTATACGTGAGAACCTTTGGTATTTTTTTTCAAACATTTTTATTTTTACTTATTTACCTTTTTTTTTTTTCAAGTTGTGCGTTCCTACCCAATTGTTTATCAACCAATTCCATTACTTGGCAATATAATTCATAATACATCAATATTTTTTCGAAACATTTCAGTGAGATATTTATATGTTTCCAGTATTAACAGAAAACTAACGCACGTTACCAAAAATGGCGAGGTTATGATGGTTGACACCAGTGATAAGATGTCAACTCGTCGTACAGCATCGGCATGTGGTCAGGTAAAAGTTAATGTAGAAATTATGAATCAAATTAAAAAAAATCTTTTGAAAAAAGGTGATGTTTTAAACGTTGCTAAGATAGCAGGAATAATGGCTGCAAAAAAAACACAAGATCTAATACCGTTGTGTCACAACATCAATCTATCTAAAATTGATGTTAATATTTACTTGATTGAATCAGAGTCAGTCGTTAAAGTCGAATGTTGCGTTTCTGCTGAAGGACAAACTGGAGTTGAAATGGAAGCATTAACGGCAGTGTCAATTTCATGCCTAACTATTTACGATATGTGTAAAGCGTTATCGCATGACATAGTTATTCAAAGCATTCTGCTTAACAGTAAATGCGGTGGCAAAAAAAATTTTATCCGATCAGTTTTATGATTTGGTAATTTGTTCGCGTTTGTATATCTTGCTGAACATTTTTAACGTTGAATTTGATTTACCACTTTATATTTTACTATTTGCTTATATAATTATATATTGTTGTTGTTATAGAAACGCCTCGAGAGTTAAAGTTTGTTTATTTATAAAGGGTGTGTACTGGATTTGATATTAGACGAATATTGTTTTAAAAAAAAAGTGTACACTGTCCTCCAAAATATTAGCAACCAAATGGAAAAAATATTTTTTCTTCAAATATTTTAATTATAACTTAATTTACTGAACGCAGCAATTTTTTTAAAAAAGACATTAGTAATACTACGGTTAATATAAGTAATATACGGTTAGTATTTACGGTTAGTATCTTCTCGGCATAAGCACAATGAGTTTAATTTCTTTTTCTGGTGTAATCTCATTCTAGTTGGCTTCAATAGCTTTATCAGGGTTTTTGAAGGGTCTTATGTATTTTAAGGAAAGTTCAACTTGATACCATAAATTTACAATTGGGTTATTTTAGATTAGTTGATCGAGTTGGGCATTTCATTATTTTAATTTGATTCTTTTTATATCATTTTTTTTACGAGTTTAGAGGTGTGTTTTATGTCGTTGTATAGTTGAAATATCCATATAAAGGCATGTTTTTATCAGCATGAGAAACCATTTTTTTCTATGAGATCTATCACAATAAAAAAATTTATCTATAATGCTATTTGTTCGACGGATACGTCCAATTTCGGTAAAACTAGAAAAACAACCCCAAACCACTTTTTCCACCACCATATTATATGTACTGTCAAATTTATAATATATTTAGTGATTATATATTCTCGGTATATATTTATTGTATATAATATATAGATGTTTTTATTGTAGAAGAAAATAGAATTTTGTTAAGGGCTTCGTGGATAAGATCATTACGATCTTCTTGAAGTCCTGTCCGTATAATATTAAAAATCTTGGTTTAAATAATATTATAGGGCAAATAAAATAATAATAATCAATGATACAAAAAAAAATGGCTCCACTTGCAAGAAAATTAAAATGACCCAAAAATAACCATAGCTAAAACTTATTCTGATTTTGATAAGGAAACTGAATCTGGTATAAGAACAAATGTTACTATTGATATATCATCTAAAATTCCTTTTTTCTTTTTTTTTTTTTATTCTTTCTTTTTTTTTTATTTAGGTGCCCTAAAAAGACAAAAAAAATTGTACATAAAACACAAAACATTAAATACATTTAGTTGATAAATATTTAAAACGTCCATTTCTTTAAAAAGCGGTTTAGAGGTCGAAAAACGATTTTTTAAATTTGTTATACGAGCTGCGTGTTTCTGATGCCGATAAAGAGATTTAAGTTTAGTTTTATGTGTACTTCCCCATATAATATTTGTATAATTAATATGACAGTGAATAAAAGAGTAATATAATTGTGTTAATTGCTTTTGCCTCTAGATTTGTATAGAATTCCAATGTTTTTTGCAACTTTATTAGAAATACTATTGAAGTGTGTTAGAAATACTATTGAAGTTTTATTGAAGAAAATCTGTTTTTCGAAGTATTGAACTTCAAAAACAAATTTTCTTCAATAAAAGTTTTGTTACTTTTTCTCTTTTTAGAATGACATTGTCTATAAAAATATCAGGTATATTTACAGGCTGTTTTTTATTATTTGGATGGAAAAGTATCCATCTTATTGTTTCAATATTTAAAGATATTTATTTGAATATTTTATTTGAACCAAATTGAAATTTTTTTTAAGTTCTCTGTTCATATTATTAAAAAGTAGGTTTATATTTTCATGTGACTGAAACAAGTGTGTCATCTGCAAAAATTATAGTCTTTAAATTGGATGCTTTGTTAATATCATTTATATATATAATAAAAAAGAAGTGCTCCAAATATGGATCCTTGTGGGATACCATATGTTATGTTCATTAATGTTTGAGGTTGGGAATCTTTATTAAAAACAATTGATTAGTGCTACTAATCAATGTTTTTAGAAATAAAAACAATAGCAGCGTTTTAAGAGTTATGGGATTGAGAACAATTTTTTTATAGATTGTATCTTTAAATTATGTGAAACTTGTTTACGGACAGGTCCAACTTCTGGAAAAATATATATATCCAATCAATTTATTCTTTTCAAATTTTATTAGTAAACCTGTTTATTTACTTAGGCTTTTAAGCTATCTTTAGTTATTTAGTTTTTTTTTTATAGTTAAACAATATAAATAGAAAAAAACTACACAAACAAGTATGCTTAATATCAAGGCCGACGATACCGGGGTTGGGGGATTGACAGAAGGGCACGTCCCCCCCCCCCACTTTTTATCTTAAGGACCTCTTTTTTTTTTTTTTTAAAGAAAAATCTTGATATAGAGGACTTTTTTCACAAATACACAGGTCCGATATAAAATTTATGCGCGTGCAGAAATGGAAGTAAAAACGTAAACAAACGTTATTTTAACAGTAATTTGCTCGAGATTTACAAAGCAAAACTAAGGTTTATCAAACAATATTATGAAACCAGTGTCATTAGTCTTATATAATTATTTAAAAAAAAGCCTATCTAATCCATTTTAAATAACATATAAAGAAACAAGTGAAAAAAAGTACCTCAAAACATTTACTTTTGAATTTGTAAAAAAATAATTCAACTTCAAAATCTTATTTTGTACTCTAATGTACTTAATGTAGTGTTTAAAGCTAAATTTATGCATATATATATATATATATATATATATATATATATATATATATATATATATATATATATATATATATATTCTGAAATAAGTTATAAATTTCAAGGGCTTTTACAAATAGTAAAAGTACTAATTGGAAAAAAACACGTACTGAAACATTTTAGTCCCTGTGTAATAAGATATACCAAATAAATTCAAAACAATTCACTAGGAGAGGCAATCCACTGTTATTTAGGGTGGTAGCCCTCTTAGCTTACAGTTTCAGGTAGGAGGTAATCCACTGTTTAGGGTGGTAGCCCTCTTATCAAGAGAGTAAGAAAAATAAATTAGAAAAATGAATTTGGATTTTCTTTAACAAGACCATTGGCCAAAACTAGGTGCTGGTTGAAATCAACTAAAGATATTCATAATTGGTGTAGCCAGCTTTCACATGCTTTTTTGGAACTCTTTGAACGATTGCAAAATCTAGAAATAACAAAGATTGAAAATGACGACAACATTCAATATTTAAAAACAAAAATTATCAAAGCAGCTAGTTCAAGCAAGTCTATCTGTGATTGGTCTCTTATTGTTAAACAGGGTAAACAAAAAAAGAAGCCAACAGATCAACTATTAGCAACAAATGTAGCCATTAATGAATTAGAGGAGAGAAAGAGAAGAGCAAAAAATGTTATTATTTATGGTGTAACTGTTAATGAAAACATTGAAATGAAATCAAAAGACGATGAGTCAAAAGTAAAGGAAATTAAAATTATAGATGAAGAGAATGTTATACCAAAAATTATTAGACGGTTGAGATCTAAAACTGATAAACCAGGCCCAATTCTAGTTGAATTAACTGAAGGTTTTCTTCGCAATAAAATTTTAGGAACAGCTAAGAAGTAACAAGCTACATAAAAATTGTTTTCTTAGTCCAGATTTAACGGAAGCACAAAGGTTACAAAATTTCTATCTTAGAACTGAAAGAAATAAAATGAATAAGCAAGAACACACAATGATCCTTTTTGGTATGGCATCCGTGGCAATCAAATCGTCAAAATAAAAAAAAAAACAGATCAATATGTTTCCTCAAGATTTGGTTTCAGATGGTAATGAAGTTGAAAAGTTGTCATGTTTATATTTAAATGCTACCTCTCTCGATAACAAATTGAATGAATTTAAAGTTGTAATCGAACAATACAAACCAAGTGTAGTTGCTGTGACTGAGACTTGGTTCAAGAACAATTCAGTGGTAAATGTTGAGGGTTTTCATTTGTATAGAAAAGACAGATTAGATGGCAGACGAGGCGATGGAGTGTGCTTATATATAGACAATTTAATTGACTCATATGAACTAAATAATGCAGGTCTAAACCTTTGTAAACTTGATCAAGTGTAGGTAGTAGTTTATTTTGGTAAAGACAAGTATCTGCTTGGCTGCATCTAAAGGCCAAATAATTTTATAGACATGTCAGAATTTCATGTGGTATTCAGTCGTTCATTGATAAAAATAAGTTCAAAAATTTTCTAATCATGGGTGACTTTAATTTTCCATCTATTAGCTGGGCAAATGGCTGTGTAGATGTAATTTCAAATGAGAATGGAATTGAACACAAGTTTTCAGATATTTTAAATGAAATTTTTTTTTACCAGCATATCAACGTACCAACTTTCCAGCTGTCAGACGATCAACTTATAAATACCTTAGATTTAATTTTCACAACTCAGTCAGCAAGTGTTTGTGTAATAGACTCAAAGTTCGTTCTGGGAAATATAAAGAGAGGCCATTTAATAATATGTTTTGATTTTATCTTAGCTGATAAAGCAGTCAGTGACTATAAAAGCAAGCAAAGATTTATGTTTTCCAAATCTAAGTTTGACAAAATATCTGATCTAATTTCAAATGTTGACTGGATAAAATGCTTTAGCAATAAAAACGTTCAGGAAATGTTTGATGAACTTATTTATTACACAGAAGTGGCATGTAATCACTTCACTTCAACTAAAATGACAATCAACTCTCTAAAAATTAGACCAGCTTGGGTAAATTTTTTATCAGAAGCAAGCAAAATTTAAGATACAAAAATTGCTCGTGTAAATGGAAAGACTCTGTTTTAAAATTTGAATATAAAATGAATTGCAAAAAAGTTGAGCATGAGATCAAAAAAGTTAGACAAAACTTTGAATATGATCTGGTAAAAAGAGCTACCAAGAATCCAAAGCTCCTGTACAGCTACATAATCAATCAACGAGCAGTCAGAGATTCAATCAAAGCATTAAAAGGAACGGATGATGAAACCACTCAAAATCCAAAATATATTGCGGATATTTTAAACAAAAACTTTCAAGCAGCATTTATGAGAGAAGACGATGGTCTTGCCTTACTTTAAGGTAAGAACAAATGAAACATTTATTATGACGACAGAAGATTTAAAATATGAAGATGTTTTTTTAGGATTTAAAAACTTGAAAGAAAACAAATCAAGTGGTGTTGATAACTTACATTCAGCTATTTTAAAAAATTGAGCATCATGCTATTCCACTTACGTATATTTTTAAAGAATCGTTTGAAACTAGCAAATTGCCAGAGCAATTCAGATCAGCAAATATTATTGCTCTGTACAAAAAAGGTGAAAAAACCTTAGCAGAAAACTACCGACCGATATCACTCAACTCGATTGCTTGTAAAATAATGGAAGGTATGATGAGATGTAAACTTGAAATTTTTCTGAATGAGTATAAACTCATAGTCAAGCAGCAGCACGGTTTTGTTAAAAGAAAATCGTGCACAACAAACCTACTTGATACACTAGATTTTATTTCAACCAGTTTAGAAAATAGTAAACCTGTTGATGTTGTTTTTTGGATTTTGCTAGGGCATTTGACTCAATGCCCTATAAAAGGCTGTTACTAAAACTAGCAGCTTACGGAATATCTGGTTTAACATTTAAATGGATTGAAGCGTTTCTGAAAAATAAAAAACAAAGAATTGTGCTGGGCAAAAATGTATCTTCTTGGGCAGAAATTATCAGCGGTGTGCCACAGGGGTCAGTAATTGGACCACTTTTGTTCGTGCTATTTATAAACGATTTTTCTAAAACCTTAAAAAACATATCTATGATGTACGCTGATGACGCTAAAATAATGAATGAAATGATTTCCTATGAATCAACAGTGTCTTTGCAAGCAGATCTTGATATAGCTTTTAAGTGGCTTGTAAAATTCAATATTTCTAAATGTATGGTCATGCACTATGGGATTAATAACAGAAAAACACCACTTTATATCAATAAACAAAAATTAAACGTAACAGAATCTGAAAGAGATCTAGGAGTAATTTTCTCAAACAACCTAAAATGGAAAAATCAAGTGATATATTGCGTAAGCAAAGCTAATCAAATGTTGGGTATGATTAGAAAATGCTTTGTTCGTTTAGATAATAGATACTGAGATCACTTTATGTATCTTTTATTAGGCCACTATTAGAATTTGCAGTACCAGTTTGGTCACGAGATCAAAAGGGTGAAATTGACTTACTGGAAAGAGTTCAGCATCGTGCAACTCGACTAGTACCATCATTCGAGAAAATCAACAATGAGAGTTGTCTAAAAAGACATGATTCAATTTTTTAAGATCTTTTAACGGTTTCAACAAGTTAGAAACAAAAAGAAAGTTTAATTTTCAACAAACTTAAACAAGAAGTCACCGGTTTAAATATGTAAAGGAAATCACTAAGCAAGCTCATCGAGAAAACTTTTTCTTTAACAGACGAGCCAATTTATGGAATAGCTTGCTGAACGATTTGGTTAATTCAGAAATAGTGAACAGTTTAAAAGCCAGTCTTGATTGCTGGATGAGCAGCAGTCAGGCAAATCAGCAATCATAGTGTGCTAATAACACACTCACTGGTTCATACCAGTTACATCATTTAATAATAATAATAATAATCTAAAGAAAAAAACTGCATCATTACAATAAAATAATAATGATAATAATATAAATAAGAATAACTGTAATAACAATAATAACAATAATAAAAATAATAATAAGAACAATAGAACAATAATAATAAGATGACGATGAAGAAGAATATTATTAGTAAGAATACTAACAGTAACAATAAAATATTATATATATATATATATATATATATATATATATATATATATATATATATATATATATATATATATATATATATATAGTACAATATATAGTAATAATAATATAACAACAATATCTTTGGCCTTCTAATAACTTGTTGAACCAATATCCTTAAATTTGCAATTTCTTTCTAATTTTTTTTTTAGTTCTTTATTTTTCATTGTCATTTATCAAGTCATTTGAGTTACACCTTTCCAACCAGAGGGAACTGTGTGGTAGATGTAACGTTAAGAACATTCAGTGTTAATATTAAACCCTTAATCATACATTATACAAAAGTATTTTAGAATACAATCTAAACATTTGTTGCGATTTGTAATTTCTTTATCTAAAATTTAGCTTCTGTAAGCTTTAGAAATTATTTAAAGAAACTATTAATGAATTCTGAGCTATGGGTACAAATGTTTTTATATTGTTGTAATGTTTGTATTCACTCCTTGTTAGTTTCTGTAAGTCAACTTTTAGGTGTTTTCATAATAAACTCTATTATATCTGAAATTTAGTGTAAGTCTATATAATTTAATTTCTTAAATCTGTTTTGCATTGCCTGTCTTGTAACATCTTTACTTAGAACAAAAACCATGTGCTTTAAAAAGTGAGCTAGAAGCTTTCAACCATCAAGAAAATATTGCATTTTTTAATCCTAAATATATATTAAACTTGTCAGCAAAATGAGTTGTCAGTAATCCAAGTATTAGCATCATTAAAAATTCATCTTTGCTGCATAACATTTATTTTGGTCCAAGTAGTTTTTTTAATATCACTTTATCTTCTTTTGATTAATGGTGATACTGCACTAACTGATGAAACACATTGACAGATGTAAGGCAAGTATAAAAGTCGCAAGATCTATCTTTTTTAAAATAAATGTTTATATACAAGTAAATTGCAATAACACGACTTGTTTGGATTATGTTTATATACAAATTTGTTTCATAGTAATAACTGATGTGGTTGAAGTTAATTATTCAAATAAATCTTTATTTTTTTTTAATTTCGTGCTAAAATTCTTTTTTTAAATTATCAATTTCCTTTTTTAATTCTTGATGCTCTATTATAAAACAACGCTTAACATTAAATTCAACATAAGTTGATGAATCATTGTTTAAAAATTTGTATTATTTACATTAAATAGCACAGGTCTACAAAAAAAAAGTTTTTTTGTATGAGATATTGAAACTTATTTTTATGTATTTTTAAACGCTGAAGCCAAATATAAGGTCCGTTTTTGTTGGTAAGCTCTAGTTTTTTTGCAATTCTCAATTTATCATTTTTTTAAAAATTATGTTTTTTCAAAGCTATTTCTATTCAATAGTTATAAAAAAAGTAACCATCTCATTGTTTTTATTAGATCAAAAATATATTATGATGGCTTCTTCAAATCCACATAAGTGCAAGCATAATCCTAACTCATTTTGTTACATATGTGGTTGATATGCACTTGTTTGACAAAGACGAAACATTACTAATTTTGTGAAATTAGCTTATGAATCGTATTTCGATATTAAACTTGGTGACCAAGACAAAAAGTGGGCTCCACATACTGTATGCCGTATTTGTGAAGAAAGTCTTCGAGATTGGACAAAAGGAAAAAGAAATAATTTACCTTTTGGAGTCACTATGGTTTGGAGGGAACCACTAAATCATATTGATGACTGCTATTTTTGTCTTGTTGATACTAGTGGTGTTGGCAAAATTAAGAGACAAAAAATAACTTATTCTAACATTCCTTCTGCTATTAGACCAATTCAACATTCTAACGAGATTCCATTTCCAATTTTCAAAGGTTTATTTTTGTCAGAAGATGAGCAAAGCGTGTCTGCTACAGAAACAGAAGAATTTTTACCAGATTTGGAAAACTTCTCATCAAATGCTAAACAATTCAGTTTGCCTCAGTATTTTAGTCAGATAGAACTGAATGACTTAGTTTGTGATTAGGATTTTCTAAACAAGCAGCAGAAGTATTAGCGTCACGTTTAAAAGAAAAAAACCTACTTCATAACTTTGCAAAAGTATCTAATTTTAGAACAAGAGATTAAACTTTAGTTAACTTTTTTTCAGAAGTCAATTTATTTGCTTACTGTCATGATATTTCAGGTCTCCTACTACATTTGTGTATATCTGTATATAATCCAGCAGAATGAAGACTTTTTATTGATAGTACCAATTGGTCATTCTGTTTATTTGCGAGAAACTTACGATCACATTAAAATGGTGCTTAGCTTGATTAAATATCATGAACACAACTGGATTATTTGTGTAGATCTAAAAATGGTTAACTTTCTACTTGGTCAGCATAAAGGTTTTAAAAAATTTCCATGTTATCTCTGTATGTGGGACCGTCGAGCGAGAAATCAACACTGGATACAAAAAGAATGGCCCATTCGCAAGACTCACAGTGGGCATGCAAAATATTGTCACAGTGGGCATGCAAAATATTGTGAATGAACCGATTGTTAGTTGAAACAAAATAGTTTTTCCACCACTCCATCTTAAACTTGAATTCATGAAACAATTTGTTAAAGCACTAAAAACTGATAGTGATTGTTTTTAGTATATAGTTAAATCATTACCAGGATTGTCAATAGAGAAAAAAAAAAAGCAGGAGTTTTTAACCGGCCACAAATGCGCTATCTTATAAGAGATAAAGAATTCATTAAAACGATGAATATCAAAGAGAAAACGGCTTGGTTATCGTTTGTGATTGTTATAAAAAATGTTCTTGGAAATAAAAAAGCAGAAAACTATGCAGATTTAGTTGGTAAAATGTTAAAAGCCTTTTGTGATCTTGGATGCAAAATGACCCGACGGGCATTTGTTTTTAAAAGTTACGTTCTGAATGTGTTTTAAATGTCTTTTAAACGTCTTTTAAACATTAATGTTTAAAAGACGTTTAAAAGACATTTAAAAGACATTTAAAATACATTTAGATCGTAACTTTTAAAAAGAAATGCCCGTCGGGGAGTATAAAGCTTCATTATATATCATTATGGTCATCTTGACCAGTTTCCTGAAAATCTCCAAGATTTTCAGGAAACTGGTCAAGATTTCCATATGAGTTTCAAATCTGTATTTTAGAACTATTTCTACTGTTTTGCAAAATTAAAAAAATATAAATTGCAAAAAATCTGTAGCTTTCAATAAAAAATGAATGCCAGATTTGAATTCAGCGTATTAAAATTATGTAAGAACAAGTGTCAAATTTAGTGCAATAAATTTTTTGTAGGCCTGTGTAATATATAAGTCTTTGAGCATTGTAGCCTAAGTTAAATGAAAAATATCGATTTTTAAACGATAGTGCTCTGTCAGGAAAATTGTCTGTACATACTCTCATTTTATATTTTATGGTAAATAATTTACTATGACGTAATAATGTAGGAGTTAAACGGTTAATTAGTTTTCTCTATATTTCTCTGAGCTGTAGTTGTTTTTATATTGTTATATATCTGTGTGAGTATTGATAATGGATAAGAAATGCTTACTCAAATGGTAGTTTGCAGTTTCACAAGTTAAAGCTTCGTTTAACATTTTATATCATACATAAACCATCTTTCCACATTTCTAGATTGTACTCGTTAATTTTACAATCGATGAGAGCGCATGTTTTCGATCTCTTGAAACTTCTATATGGTATAGGTTTAGTATTTACATTTTTTTCTATTATAAACTTCTATAACTTAAACAGTTGAAATAACCGTTGAAATAATAGTTTGTTTACGTTTTTACTTCCATTTCTGCGCGCGCATAAATTTTATATTGGAACTGTGAAAAGGTGTATTAATGATTGTGTCTCCCCACTTCAAAACCCGTGTCGTCGAGCCTGAATATTTTTAAATAAAACGTTAATAATATAATACTATCAATATTTAAAAAATCATACAATATTATTTGTAATTATTTTTATTATCTGATGGAAGATCATTATTTATCTTATTCCACGCGAGAGCGTCAGCCTAGCGATTATCATAAAAGAATGTCAGCCGAGTTAATATTAAACAATTTTTGAATTATTTTTAATAAGCAAGATATACCACAGATGCAAACCACAAACTAGTTTTTTTTCCGCAAAAGCGGACTTGCTCACCAGACATCACACTTTGGGTAAAATGTTTGCGTTGTCATGTTTCGGGTACCAAAGCAAAATTTTTTTTTATTCCGAATCACTTTCATCACTAAAACTATGATCTTTATCTATATTCATCAGTGGTAAAGGTAGAAAATCTTCTTTTTCTTCACTCTCACTATCTGAAGATATATTTTCGTTTTTCCACATTTTTGCCATTTGTAGCAATTTGAAATTAGGTTGATCAGCGTCATTGTCTGGGAAAATGTAATCGTAATATTCTTCCCATCCAGCGTCCGACTAAAATTTAAAAGCGCAAGAAGTACAAATAATATACATGTAATAAAAGAGCAGAAAGAAAAGAAAACACAAAAAGATACCATATCGTCTGTTTGAACTTTTCTTCTTTTTTTAACTTTTCGCGGCATCTGTTTGTCTATGGCCATCTGCGACGCACTGGTTCCGTGTTCATACTAATTAAATAATAACTATTAATTAAAACCACAAAAATATTACCACTATAATTTTAAAGATTTGTTAAATATGAAATAACCACACGCTAATTATAAAAATAAACTTTTGCATAAGTCTAATAACCAAAGCATAAAAAATGTCTTACTAAGTTTGTATTTTAGTAGATTTTATTTTATATCACAATAATATAGATATTTTAACAGATCAGTTAATCATGTATGAGATGCGATATATCAAGTATGTAACGCGAAAAAATCAAAAAACAAAAAGTGCTGAGTTTATAAAACTTTTTAAAAATGTGGTTAAAGTTAGATTTTCTTCAATTTATCGATGTTTACGCAATACATCAACATTTACTCAGAGCGTCTTTTGTTTTTAAAAAACCATAAGAATAAGTTGAACATTAAAAAATTGAACCAATGTTATTTTTTACCCCTATAATTTATATGATGCTTGTGCTTTTCTTGATGGATTTCCTTGAACTTTCACTGATATTTCCCTGATCCACTTCATGTTTTTCTTATTTGATTTAAAGTTACTCAAACTCAACTTCAGAAAAATTAGACTTTAATTGCAAAAAAATAAACATTAACACAACCCACATTTAAAATATCAAAAGAAGTTTAAAATATTATCTGTCGAATAAAATTTTATATTACGTCTACTTTATATTACAATCTACCTAAGTTACGTAAGTTTGATAAAGAACCAATTTCCAGATTTTCTCCCTAATTTTTCCCAATATCCCTGATTATTCCCCGATTTTTTTTCAGATATCTGAATTCGCTAATTTTTCCCTGTTTTCACTGATTTCTCTGATCTGACTGTAATTGTTACAACTTTTACTTAAATGCTTGAAAAGTGGAAATAAAATTGTTTAGTCGTGCAGCGTCACATGCAAAAATAAAAAGAGACAACAAATATACTTCAAAAGTTTTCCACGCCTCAAGCAACATCATTCGTTCTTCTTTAAGATTATCTGCTTTTAATGCTTTATCACCGCGCTTAAAAATACTTCTAAAAAAAGGTAAAAAATATAATATAAAAAAGTTTACGTAACGTATAAAAAAAAACACACTAAAATGGAAATAATAACTGTTAAGGATGAAAAATAACAACTATTAAGGATAAAAACAATTACCTTGCTTGTTCAATGGCTGCATCTTCACCAGTAGTTGATTCAAATCGCGCATAGCTGATCCAAACCTTAATACATATTTAAAAAATAAAAAAAATAAAAATTTATTTATAACATAACAATCGATTACTTATTCTTTTATTCAAAATTTCAAAAAAAAAAAAAAAAAAAAAAAAAAAAAAAAAAAAAAAAAAAAAAAAACAGCAAAAATTTCAAAAAATCCATTCGAAAAATCTTTAAAATTAAACCTTCATATGATTGGTTCGTTTCAATAGCCTTTCAAAAAGTTGCCGAGTATTGTCATATTCTTGCTGAGCAATTTCAAAATCTATGTAAGCTTTCCATAGCACCTTAAAAATATATAAATATAAGTGTTTCATAGCATCTTAAAAAATATAAATAAAAGTAAATAAAAGCATCTTCAAAAACATAACTGACAATATATAACTAGCACACACACGAATTTTATCATGAATTTTTAGTTTATAAAAAGTTAATTTTACATTAAAATGTTAACACAAATATACAAGAAATTTTACAGCAGTACTAACCTCAGGCATATCTAAAAGTGACTGACAGATTGCTAGCTCATAAATAGCTCGAGCGCGATCAATGTCTCCAAGTATAGTTTCCATTTCCGCATACTTAAAAGTATAAAAAAAAAAAAAAAAAAAAAAAATAAGAAAATCAAAAAAAAAAAAAAAAAAAAAAAAAAAAAATTGTAAAATTTGTATTACAAGATAATATGCAATAAATATATATAAAATGTTAATTAATAAAAAAAAATTTTATACTTTAATCCATGTTGTGCAGTTGGAAGGATTAAATTCTAAAAACTTCTCGTACAATTTTCGACAACGGTCAAACTCACGCAACTATAAAAATTATGAAATAAATTGATTACTGTCGAAATTTTGTGAAATTGATCACAAAATTTTGACTTATGCAAACTGCCGCCAAAAAAATGGCAAAATTTATATAACCATCGCATTTAAATATGTATTAAATAAATACTTGTTTGTTTTGTCAAAAACTCCTAATTTAAAAAAGATTTAAAGTTATTTTTACGCGCAAAAACCAGCAAAATGTGCGCCTACCCAAAAAACACGCGCATATGAAATTTTACACACGTAAGCAGATTTTTTTTTCTTAATTTAACCTTTCGAACCAATTAATAGTTCGCATAATACATAATTCATTTTTAAATCTCAATTTAACTTTCTCCCGTTTGTAATCAGGCGTGATCTCTCGGTACACTACCGCCCAAATTATTGTCATCATTATTACCGAGCCCTTCCTCTTTTGATAAAAACAACGATCGAAAGAATTAATCTTTCGATCATTGTTTTTATCAAAAGGGGAGGAATCACTAGAGGCAACAACCTCTTTTTTAAGAGTCTCTAGTGATTCTTCTGAATAACTTCCAATAAGAAGCTGTAATGCATCAGCGATTTATTAACATTTCTAATAGTTTGTGAACGCTTACAGGAATAACATACCCATTATATTCGGAAAAAATTTTATCTGTTGTATCATTACAATATTTTTGAAAAAAGAGCTTGGATCTAAATCATATCCCGAACAAACTGCTTTTAAAACTGTAATAAGTCTAGAAACGATCTACACCAGTTATATCAGATAAAGTATCAAATTCCTCAAAGGCTCTTCTGACAATATTACCATCATTAGTGTTTCCAAAATCTTGTTTTGACATGTCAACAATAAGACTTAGTTCTTTCTCAAACCTATTTTGGATAATTGTTTTTCTTTTTTTAACTTTATTTTTCTGCTCAGAAATTTTAGCATAAAATGAACTAATTTTCAATTTATATCCATTGTGAAGAATGTACTCAAGAATGCATCGTATCCAACAGTGAAGAGGTGAAAGACAAAAAATAAAGCTTCTTTATTGAAAGGTTTAGATCTAATCAATTTAATGTCGTTCATCTCTGTTGGCTCGGCTGAACATACATTACAGCTTTCTTTACTTTACTATAAAGATAAAATTGTTTCTATCAATGTTGCATTCAGTTGCTGCATTTTTTAAAGAAGCTAAGGTCAATGCATCATGATTATTTCCAGCTAAATCAGCAATTTTAGCTCTTTTGCTTAGTTTACCAAGATTTTTCTAAATTTTATTTTTTCTACCAAGACCTTTTTTAAATTTAATTCTTTTAACAAGATAGGGAAAAAACTCCTCTTGTAGATAACAACTTAATTAAATAGAATGATTACATAAATAAAATTATTAACAAATAATTTTGTTTCTTTACCTGCAGCCAAACTCTTTCAAAATCAATCTGTCATAGTTTCTATTATATCTAACTTAGCTCCCACTTTTGCTTTAAAACTTATTGTTAAAGTTGGTAGGCTCTGATTTATCGAAGTCATCTTCATGACCGTTATAAACATTTAGAACTTCTTTAAGCAAAGATTCAAACAGTATGACTTTATTGAAACCTTGTTCTTTAATTTTTTGAAGAAGATTAATTCTTTTCATGTTTTATATATTATCTATAACATGAAACACAAAAATTATCAAAAGTTTATCTACTAACAATCATCTTATTATCATTATAGCTTAATAGTTACAAGTATTTGGAAAATCCATTATATACAAAATATATACAAAATAAAATGATAATACTAGAGATTATTAAAAATATTTTTTTAATAATCTCTAGTATTATCATTTTATTATTATTATTTTTATTATTATTATTACTATTATTATTATTATTAGGATAAAGAAATATTAAAAATATTTTTATTATTTCTTTTAGTTAATAAAATATTAATTATGCTTAAAAAATGAATTAATAAAAGAAAAACTATATACATCATTTATTGGATAAACCTCAAAAAGCTCATAGTTAAGATTTTCCAAATAATTTACACAGTGTTCATCTAAAAGACTCATCAGAAATGAAAAAAATTTGATAAGTGATTTTCTACTAATTTATTACAGCTCTGTTTTTCTAAGAACATTGTGCACTCTATTTTGTAGAATACATTTGAAACTATTTGTACATTTACATTTTTTTTACTTGTCTCTTAAGCTGCATTTTATTGTCGTGGAAATGTCAAAGCAATTAAATTAATGCGGAAGTACATTAAATTTTATTGTTTTTAAAAAAAACCACAATAATAATGACTAGAAAGTTTTTTTTAATTAATGATGTTTTTGTTTTCATACAGTGATCTATTTATTGTAGAAAACATGTCTAATGTTTTAATGATCTAATTCAGTGGCGGAACTTCAAAATTTGGGCCCCCCCGCAAAAGAATGTTTTTTTTGCGGAAAAGAGTTTTATAGTATAAATATTATTGAGAGTATAACTTTTTTTATATGAGGGCCCCCTATAGCTGGTAGGCCCCCCCGCAACGCAGGGTCCTGCGTCCAGTAGTTCCGCCACTGATCTAATTGCTTTATCATTTTATATTGCGAAGAAAAAGTTGTGAAGCGATAGTTGTTTTGTTTATATTTTTCCGAAATATTTTAAGACAAAATAAAAAAAGACAGTTTATCCATATTAAATTAGTAATTATTGTTGATTAAAAATAATTAAATAAAATTTATTTGCTCTAATTTACTCCAATCTTTTATCATATACTAGCTAAATATAATATTTAGTGAATAAATGATAAAAGTTCTATTTTAGATTAGAACAAATTAGAGCAGGTGAATTTTATTCCATTTAAAAGGATATTGCTAAAAGTACTAAAAAACACTAAAACGTTGAGTTATATGGAATAGTGATAAACCAAAATTTTGTTTTTCAAAATTTCAGTTTGAACTGATACCGAAATTTTGGTTTCGGTACTTACAAAGTAAGTAAAAGGCAGAATTTCGGTTGAAATAAATACTGAAAACCAAAAAATTTGAAATATTTTAAAATTTTATCTAATTTAGAAAAAAAGTTATTTTTGATAATTTATATCTATTATATTATACTTTTATTTCTTTTTGATAATTTTCACAAAAATTTTGAGAGTTCTCACAAAATGCCTTGTAATAATCTTGTTTTGCAGAGAAAATCTGCCAGCTGTTTTCGCTATTAACTTGTAAAAATCTTGCTATTAACTTTCGCTATTAACTTATATCACCAAATTATGTATTAATTCTTAATTTGCAAAACACGGGTAATAATTTCTTATATAATTAAAAATATAATTTCTTATATAATACACATATAAAAAAACAACAAGTGTAAAATTCCATTTTTAAATAAAATTTTTTAATGAAATTAATTTTGACTAGCCGAAATGTTGGTATTGGTTTCGATAAAATATTTGCGAAATTTCCGTTACATAACCAAACTGAATTACTAGAATTTTGGTTTATTTTGGTTTCGGCTTTTTTTCTGTTTTGGTCGATCACTAATATGGAACATATTTAATCTTGTACCATAAATAATGTATTGCTAATCAAAAATTTACTCATATTTTATTTCATACTGAGTAATAACTTAAATCTAATAATCTTTAGAAAAAAATTTAAATTGCGAATTGACATAATTTAAATAAATTAGTAAAAAATACTAACACTTTAATTACTCCATAAAATAAAATTTTAAAACTATTTTATTGAGCATTTCTGTTTTTTTTTCCATCATAAAAAAAGCGTTATAAGAGTGCTTCAAATTAATACACAAACTTGCAATGGCTTCAAAAAAAGTATTGTTATGCATCTAGCCTTACTATCATTAAAAAGTATTTAGAAACTAAAGACTTCAATTTTTTTCCTTTTTTTGCCACTTTATAAGGATGTTGAGCCACTGCGCGCCATAGTGCAAAACCTTTCTGGCCGTCTCTGACAATGTTATTAATTTACATGGAAAATATCAACAAATTAAAAACAAAAATAAATAAATTGTAAAGAATTTTTAGCAATATATTTTAACCCAACAGAGTTCCAAAACATGAAAGTCTATCCTAAAAAAATGTTAATTAGGTTTTGATTATTTTCTTTATAGTAAAGAATTTTTCTTTATATGTTACAATAAGAGTTATTTTTAGCAAAACTTCGCAATGTGTGTTTAGATACAAATCTTGCATTTTATGATGATTCATAAAGTTTGAAGCAATAAAAGAAATAATTTTGAAAAAAAAAAAGATTTAAACTAAATAGTTCACCACAAAAGAAAAATAATTAAAATGCCATTAAAATCCAATTTCAAATACTTTGAAGAGCTAAATATAATTTTATATTTTCTTTTCTGTAAACTATAAATATTATACTAATCTCACTTTCAGATCAACTTTCTTTTCTGTAAACTATAAATATTATACTAATCTCACTTTCAGATCAACTTTCTAGCTATATATTTTTCTATGATTTAAGTTGTGCCCAAAAGAGTATTAAATAAAACAACATCTGATTTTTTTTCAGGAGAAATTGAATAACTCTTGTCTTAGACTAGTTCATTAAGATGACACTTTATACGCTTCATCAAATTTAGTGGTTAATCTCAGACTTTACTTTTCTCTTCCAAATTCTTTGCTTTAATAATGGCATTTTTAAAACCACTTTTTCTGTAGTTTTCAAAAAAAAAAATAACTTTTTTTATTTATAACAAACTTTCATTGAGTGATGTAAAGGAAAAAGAAATCCTAATGTTCATTTTGAAGAGTATTTTACTTGAGTTTTTTTTTTTTTAAAATGCAAATTTAAAAAAAAAAAAAATGCAAAAAAAATAAAAAATTAAAAAAAAAAAAATAACTTTTCTGTTCTCTAATATGTCTAAGCAAACAATTCTGAAATTGATACAAGACAAAAAAACATTTCTTTTACTAACAGTATTGATTTTGAAAAGAGCATCATACCAAACTTACTAGAAAGACAAGAAAGCTTAAGTCTTACAAATGCTCTGTCATTGCCTTATGTTTTATGATCATTGTTTAATTTTTTATATTGCAGTTAAAGCATCATTTATATCACCAACTTAATATCAAACAACTTTGAAACAACTTATTTATGCTTCTCACTGCATGTCACAAAATGTTTTTTTAAATATAAAACTTAAATGTAATCAACTAAAGTTTTCCATCAACTCATTGAAGATGTGAACTGAGAGAAAAATATCTGAAAGAATAATGAAAGAATACAAAACAAAAATTTGATTGAAAAATGTTTAAAGTCATTTTGTATCAAAATCTATTAGGTAACAATCAAATTTATATTCTACTTTTCATTTTTCTTAAGATTACTTTTTCTTTTTATAATTTAATTGATTTTTATTTTTTCGCTGTAGTTTAAATTAGTTTTTTCCGCAATATTTTAAAAATTTTATATATATCAAAATATGTAAACAGCTTTGGTCACGTTGTCAAAATAAAATTTTATATTTGTAGGCAAGCAATAAATTTAACCGCACATATTTTCTGGGAAAGCTTAATACATAACTTTTTTTTTAAACTTATAAACTATTTATAATTACAAGTTATTTTTTTCTAACCTGAAGTTCAAGACTGATGTACTCACGAAACAGTTTATTCTTTGGACATTTGCCAATACTTGTTCCCTAAAAAATATTTTCTATAAAATCTATAGCTAAATAAGTGATAAAAATAAGTGATAAAAAATTTTTGTAGAAAATCTGTTAAAAATCGGAATAACAACTGACTTAAAATCATGAATTTTAAAACCCCTTTACCAATATATAAAAAAATAGATAAAACCTCCTTACCAATGCTAGTCTTGCAGCTTTAAGATTCTTTTGACGAACTTCAAAGTAGGCATATAACAACCATATTTTAGCAAATGTAAACTGAAAAATATTTTTTTACATTTACCTAACAATAGTTTAAAAAGTTTAATAAAACAAAAAAATTAAAATAGATGTAAGCCAATTGTTAAAAAAAGAAATTTTTAGGTAGTATGAGTAGAGAAAAGATAAAACTTTTTTCTAAACTTATTTAATTAAGAGTATCAAATAGTTTAGTAAAAAAATTTTTAAAACCTTTTTATGTGGTACAACTTCTAAAGCAGCTTTGTATACAAGTTTAGTGCGATCCATATCCTAAAAATAATTTATAAAATTTTATTATAAAGAAGCTTAGTGCGATCAATGTATTAAAAATATTTAAAAAAATGTAATAACAAAAAAAAAAAAAAAAAATTAAAATAAATACATTGTTAAAAAAATATACACTTTTGAAAATAGGGAAAAGATAAAACTTTTTTTAATATATTTGTTTTTAGATAAACTGCAGTTTAATACATTTATAACAAAACCAATTTTAAAGTTAAAGTAGCACAACGAGCAGTTTTTACTCTTGGTACATAATATATTTTAAAATTAAATATTGTAGCATAATAAGCAGTTTTTTCTCTTGGTACATATTATATTTTTATATTATTTTTAATAAAAAAACTTTCCATTTTGATATTAACAAAGTTTATAAAAACTTTTTTATATCAAATGTTAATATAATACCAAAATATTTTTATATCGAACAAATTTTTATAATATTATAACAAAACACATCGTACTTGGTTTATATATATATATATATATATATATATATATATATATATATATATATATATATATATATATATGTGTGTGTGTGTGTGTGTATATATATATATATATATATATATATATATATATATATATATATATATATATATATATATATATATATATAAATATAAAAGAACTTCAATATTTCATCATCAAATAAACAGTATTAGTTAAAATTATATTATTAACATTGCAATTGCCACATAAAGGTTTTCTCTTCTTTGATGAATAGCAAGTAGTAGCTTCTGACAATCGTTTTCATAATGAACATAGTTTACAAAGTCTGAGTCTGAGAACTTTAATAGATCTTTCAGAAACAAAAAATTTTAAGCTGGTTAACGAACTCCCATAGTTATGCTGAGCTGTTTAACATTCAATTTAGTGAGGTTTAACAAATTAAATATAAGCAATACTGGTGGTTTTTCTAACTTAAAGTTAAGAGTTTTTAACAAATTTAGTTTCTCTGAACAGTTGAACAGTACTACTGGACCTCAACCTGAACAGTTCCAAAACTGGTTTTAAAAGCAGTATTTTTGCAACATCTTTCTCTGCAATAGAAATATCTTGACTAGGAGAGCAAGTGGAACCAAAGTTTTATCAATGTACCATTAATGCAATTCCATTGAAACCATTGTGGCATCAATTCCACTTGAAATTTTTTCAGAATGCTGAACATGTTGCTCTACGTATTTTCTTTAATTTGCCATTTGCAAATACATTTTATATCTTGGAAAGATGCAGTGTAAAGTAAAGAAGTCTTTAAAACCAGACAGACCAAGGATTGATATAAATTCGACCTTTGCCTGCATGTTTGATAACTTGTCAACTTATAAGAAAGCTGCAAGCTCATTATCTCAATCTTGAATTTATAGAAAACCTTTGATATAACTTTAAAGAGTTAATGGTACATTTAATATCATTCCAGTTTATTTTAAACACTTTAAACATTAAATTTTCTGGAGATTTATTTTTTTCACGGCTAAGTTTTTCACAGAAGTGATTGAGTAATTCATAAATGCCTCCTGCAAGGTAGTTCTAGTAAAATTGAGTTTTGATTATCACTAAGCCTGACATTGGCACCCAAAAGTCTTCCTGTATTTTAAGCAGTTAAACTAAAACATAAACCTTTTGTATCATCGCATATTTCATATTCTTCCAATATTTTAACTAAAGCATCATACTGAGCTTGTCCAATAACATGATCAATAGCTGAATGTCAAGCAGCTTTATTTCCCCATCAATATTAACCAAGACTCGAAAAGTATTGATGCATATCTTGGTAAGTATTGATGGTGAAAATCCCATTAAAATGTGCTATTATGGGAAAAATAGCTTTACTGGTAGCAATTGTAACATTTTCAAATTTCTTTTGATCCTGACAAATAGTTGAACGAGACGAATAGTTTTCAAATTTCTTTTGATCCTGACAAATAGTTGAACGAGACAATGAAAAATCCATTTCCATAAACTTATGATTAAACCTGTGCATCTCTTGATGAAAAACTTATTGAAACTGATGTCATGGAAAATATTTTTAACAAAATTCTTCACTAACACTTGATTTTGATTACTTGAGAATGGTTGCACTAAATCAAATGAAATATCTGATTTTGTACTAGTATTACTCTGAGGAAAACTCTAGCTTAGTAGTTGATTTGCCTACTTGAGTTATTTGTCTAATGTTAAAACATTTTAACTGCTTTTTTTCTTTATATTTTGAATTATACCTCATATCTTTATTCCAAAATTTTATAAGGCAACCTGACAGTTGGTCCTGTAAAAATCCAATACCTGCATAATATAAAAGTTTATTGAGACTGCTTTTCTTCAAGATTTCTTTAATATTATCTCTGCCAATCTAAAAAACTTGCTTCCCCTTCTTCTTGAATTCCTCCTTTGATTTCTTGGTTGCCTTACAATCCTTACTTTTACTTTACTTTAATGTCTCTAATGCTCAAGCAAATGATATTATTCCTACAAAATTTATGATATAAAAATAATAAACTAAATGAAATTAAAAATAACAATGGCATATTTACCATATAACACATACTAGTACCATGGCAACCAAAGTGATGCTGCTATATATGCTTTATTGTTCGATAATAAATTTTTTTATTTTATTCAATCAAAAGTTAACCAGATAAACCACCTTTCAGATAATTTAAATGTTACAAACTCACACGTAATAATAATAAATAAAAAAAATATGATACAGATTAGTAAGAATGGTATTCAAAACAAAACCTTAAATATCTACTAGCTTTTTAACAAGAGAGTTAGAAAGTTTTATAAATATCTACTAGCTTTTTAACAAGAGAGTTAGAAAGTTTTATAAATGCAGAAATTGTAATTCCTACCTTATAGATTTGTTTGTGAGTAATGCATCTTTGTAACCTCTGTCTAACCAAGGTTTTTTAACTGCAAAAAGGATACTGTCATAAGGGTAACTGAAAAAACTATTTTGCAATATTATTTGGTCCAACAGTACAACCAATAAACTTTTTGAACAAAGTTAACTTGTCTCTAGATTTTTTGGACTGAAAGTTAAGAACCCACTCATTATTTTTGACAAAGGTTATTCAAGTTGAGATTTTCTTCTTTAAATAATCACGCCCTCGCTTTCAGCTTTCAGCTCTAGCTTTCAGCTTTCAGCTCTAGCTTTCAGTCTTGTAATATATCATTTTAAATTATACTTGAAAAAAATATTATCGTGCTTTTCTGTAAGTTTATGAAGATCTAGTAGACTAAGGTTTTCATTTTTACAAAATGTTCCTTTTATGTAATTAATACTCATTCTAATATATAGCTGAATGATAATAATTGAATGAATAAAAAAAATTTATAGAATAAATTTTAAGGTCCCCACTAGGTGTTTGAAACACCCAACATATTTATTTATATTTATTATTATAAGTATTACATATTTATAAATAAAAGGCAATTATCAGCCATATTATTCAAAAATATAAAATAAAATCCGTTATAAAAAATACAAGTTTAGTGTTGCAACAGCATCTGATATCAAATATATATGATCCAATATTTGCCAGAATCAAAGTGAGTCAAAAATTTTCCTATGCCTACAAGCAGAAACCAATCCACTTTTTTTGTTAAGTAGTGATCCACTATCAAAAGTCATAATAAAATATTTTTCATTAATACAAAGATTACACTTGGTTTGTAAGATTGGCATCTTTTAATTATGTTCCACTTGATTATAGGCACGTTACTTGCAGCTTTATGTTTCCAGATTTCTTTGGAAAGTTCTGTATCATTTCTATACCTGGTTGCATTAAAGGATTTAAGGTGGTTTTCAAACCTAAGCTTGAATGCGTTTTAACTGATACCAATGTAAGATTTTTCCTTAAGACTGGCTAAGGTGATGCTTAAGTGGCTTTATATACAACATTTTTTGATAAACATTATTTATTTAAAGGGCATGTGATTTTCTTAGTGCAGTTACAATTTGTATCATTAGCGGCAAGTTTTTTACGTAAAATTTGTTGATTGTGTGAATTAATAATTGATCGAGTATTTGGCATGCAGCTGTAACTAACTTCTATTGTATTTATGTTGAAAGTTTTTGAAAAAATTCATAATTATATAAGTAAAAAAAAAAAATACTTATTATAAAAATTCATTAGAAGTGTTTTGTTACTTCATTAAGAAGTGTTTCAATAATAAAAAAAGCACTTTATTTAATTGTAACAACTTTCTAAAACATTTCTCTTTTTTTTTTTTTTAACAAAATTTTGTTTATCTTTTCAAATGTATTAACTTTAATTATTCTTATATTAAAATTCGTTAAAGAGACTTTTGTTGTCTTAGAATGTCATTGTTTATAAAAACAAAACAAACTTTTATTTTAAAAAACGTTTATTATAAAAAATGCACACTTCAACAATTTATATATTATAAATTAAATAAATATATACAACTGTCAATTAAACTTTAAAAAAGTAATTATCAGTAAATTGTTACTTTATTTAAAAGCATTTTGCTAAAATAAAAACATTTGTTCAAAGTTTTGATGTAATTTATTTCACTTGAGGTATAATTCGGAATATTTTTCATTTAGCGCCAGGGCTGTGGAGTCGGAGTCGGAGTTGCAACAATTTTAGCGGAGACGGAGTTGTTAAAAAAAATCGCGACTCTCGGTATTGCACATTCAATTACAAAATATTTAATTAACCATATGTTCATACTAAACCTCAAAGAACGCTTCATAAATTTGTCAAAAAAAAAATTTAACTTATTGTGTAATATTTTTTAAAAAATCCAAAGAGTTTTTCAAAAATTTTGTTTTGGAGTTGGAGTCGGAGTTGTACTCAAAAAATTTCAACAACTGGAGTCGTTTCTTGCATGATAGTCAGAATGTTTTTCCCATAAACTGTAGTTTTAAAGGGACTACCAAGTCCCGAGACATGTTGTGTTCATATTAAAGAGAATGTTAAAAAAAAACATCTGAGCAATTTTTTTTTTAATAAAAC